ACCACTGAGTAAACAAGGAGGGGATTTCGGTCTTGCATTGCCCTCCGCAGCTGGGCTGCAGCAGGCTGAAGCAATGCTCACTGAAGCCACTGGGCTTCTCACCAGCAATCTCACTTTCAGTAGGCACTGGACCGAGTCCTGAACTTAGGCGGCACGGTCTGCAATTTGCTTTGGTCTCTTCCTTGATCAAAGCTGGGTTTATTACTTAAGTATGTCTGTATTTATGATTTGTATATAAACATGTTGCATTTCTGTAACTGGTTCTGAAGTACAGGAAAGGCTATACCTGCACCAATACATTCTGTCTGGCACTGCTTACAAAGGCTGCTGTTCCACGGTCACAGTAATCGGTGTCTTACACCTTTTGTTGCCTGCAAACCACCTGTATATTGCTCCCCGGGGTACCGTTGCTCTCAACTAAAACGCTGTCCCAGGTTTTTACTTTCAGGAGGGACAAACGAAATACACCCAGGCCTTGAAGTTCACAAGTTGTTAGGCCATGGATGTTGCCCCAAACAAACCCACAGACCCAGGCTTGCCCTCAGGGAGCCACGGCGCAATGCAGTGCCACAGGAGGGACCCCTACAGGCAAGCCTTATCCCACCAGCTTCCCCCTCCTGGGCACCTGGCACTGTGCTGCCCACCCTCCTCCCGCTTCACCTCTCCTCATCTTGGGAAGGAGTGACCCTTCAGCCTGGAAATACTTTCCCCTGGGATATGGAATAGGTCTCCTGCCTCCTTGTCTCTCCTGCAACTTGCGCTCAATACTTTATTCCTGCTACCCGGCTTGGCTCTTTCGAGTGGTTCCTTTTGCATGCTTTGGCCCTTATCTTGTAAGTAAAAGCTTGTACTAGTTTACCGTGAGATTCCAGTGAGAGGTCTCTTTTGGAGCCAGCCACTCTTAGTCGGGCTTTATCAGCAAGCCCAGACATAAGTCATTTGTGACTCTGAGTTACAGAAAGTGTGTAAGCACGAGGGGTTTCCTTCTCATTGCAGGCACAATTTAAAGAGGCTGCAGAACTACCCAAGTTTTTGTTCTCCCACTAACTAGTTGAAAATATTTTCCTTAAAGCACACAGAAGCAGTGTTCAGGAAGAGCCAAATTCTGCTTGCAGCTGCCTAAGCGTAAATCCACACCAACCTTTCTGGTTTTACTTCCATACATTGGATTAACGTGTCAAAACATAAAACACAGACTTCGACCCTAGCAGACCGCTGACCTTACCACCAGTGTAACTTTCCTGACTTTAATAGTGAACCCTGTTACAGCATTTCCAGCATCTGTAGTGGTTGTCACAGGTCCCATAATGCTTGGCAATTTATATAAAGTTTGAGTTCCCTGTGGCATGTGTGAATGCAACAGAATTACAGCTTTATTTAAAATAATGAGGGAAAAAAAGGCTTCCGGGTAGCAGACAGAAAAATTTGAAAGCGTGACCCCAAGGCTCAAACCAGGGGAAATAAATAGGACCCAATTAGCTGTGTTTATATCTTGTGGCTCGTAGGTTGGAACAGCTGGAGTACTGTTGAGGTGCCATTACATTAGGGTTTACTGGCTCAGTGTCTAAGTAAGTACGTTTGAGGGGGTTAACTGTGATGTCTAAATATCATGTGTGCATGGTTTAGGAAGAAAAAAAAAAGTAAGAAAAAGGGTGTAAGTTGTTTTGGTCTTATCCTCAATTTCTTTAATGCTAGTTACCACATTTGACTCCAGTGGAAAACCTCAGAGGAAAAGTCCAATGGTATAGTAGGGCCATAGGACCTAGGGATGTGTAAATGCACGTGTGATGCATCATCTCCTGAAGCAAATGGCAGCACGGCAGCCCATTTCCAGCGTGACAATAAATGTACTCTAATTTACCACTGTCCCTTATGTGCCTGACCTTCCCTACAGATATTCTTCCCTCCAGCCTAGTCTCCCACGAGGACGCCCACTGAATTCAGCAGCGAGTTCCCCCTGCACGGCAGGGGTACCACTGCACTATGTTTTGAGGAGGTCACTGGTTTCTGCACTGGACCCCCTTGCCAGGCAGTAAGGAAGGTGGCCCTTGCCCACCCGGCCCCAGCTGGTGGGGCTGTGGGCATGTCGGGGAGCAGGAGCTGGGAATGGTGCAGAGGTACCCATGAGGTACCCGCTTTGGGAGTATGGGTAAGAGCGGGTGAAATTCTTGCTCCAGTGAAGTCAATGTCGGCATTGCCAGCATTGCCATCCAGCTCGCACAGGTGTGGGGTTTTTTTCTCTTATGCAATTAAGGAAAAGAGCATGTGAAACACGGCAGGCTGTTTGCAACCCACCCTGTTTGCTGCCTGTGTTAAACTTAGGCTGCGAGTCCTTGCCTTGCTGTGGTGTCGCTTCTTATTGATAAAGTCTATGGGGCTTTTAAGTCCTTAGCCTCCAATTAGCAGGACGTGTGTGTGGTTCCTTCCCCTCTGCTCAGATAAAAGGCAGACGGACACACCGGCTCTGTTCCAAGCAGAGCAAAGCCTCCACTGACTTCACAGGGTCCAAGATTTCTGCTCCAGCTTCAGCTCCAGACACCGGACCACTTCCACCCCCTCTTGTTTTATTTGAAAGGCCTAAGACACGCAGGTCTGAGGGTCTAAATGGCACTATGGTGGGCTTCTACCAATGCTTCTCATCTAACTGCAGTCGGCTTTAATTTTGCCTTTTCCACTCTTAACCAGTCGTCTTCGCCTGCTTCTTAGCCAGGGCAAAATTAAGCAGGAGGAAAAAGGCTTATTCAGCATTATAATTATCTACTCCCAAGCTGCATAACAAAATGGTTTACACATTTAATTGGTTTTGTCTAATATTTCCACGTATACAGTAGTCCTATTAATGAATATCATAGCTTCATTACTGCATATCACATTTTGCTATTTGTTGTGTACCATAAAATAACATCAGCACATCAATAACTTAAATAACACAAATGTAAACTCATTTTCTGCTTCTTATAATTATGATTTGAGCCTGCAGAGGCTTTTGGATTTGTAAGACCATTCACGTAACATGGAATGTAACTTTATTGGTTTTTCTTTTGTATATAATGAGACATCGAAAGCCCTTGTCATCTCTTAACAGGATACTAAAGCAGCTCTGTTTCATGAATGACGGCACAATTAAAGCTAAAAATCATAATTTAAAAAAAAAAAACAAACCTTTGTACTGTACAATTTCAAATTAAAGCAAGAAAGATAATGACAATCTTTTGCATTAGCCAGGAAATGTGATTCTCTGCCACTGGGCTTTTTTTTTTCTTGTTGACAATTCACAGAATGTGTATATGGGTGTAGTTATAGGTGTGTGTGTATATCCTATGCAGAACAGCAGTCCCTATTTTGTTGATCTAGTTCTTCTAATTTTTTAGTTAAACTACCTAGCTGATACAATTTAGAATACTACATTAACACATTTAACATCAAGTTTACATACTTGCGTCTTTGAAATACTAGGAACTTTTACACATTTTATTTGGCTTCGTAAGGACTGGAATATCACAGATAATGCAATCTACTTGTGTTTGAAAGAATATGGCTGTTCTCAACTAACACTCTAAGGTTCAGAGTGAAATATGTTTCTCCTTGTATCTGCAGCTGACTTCAGAGAAGAGTGAGTATCTTCTTAAGCGGTCAGTCTGATGTTACAGTACAGACTCTGCAGAGAGAGAGATAGACATTTAATGCAGGATGATTCTCTCTGAACTTTAGAGTTAAGCTGCTGCAGCAGAATTACTCCGTGTAGACTAATTTTTTTTCTATACAAATCTCAAGAAAAACCTATTCCAAGTATGTTTTGTAGTAGTATCTCCACATGACCAGAGGAGGGCACTTTGAACATCTTTGCACTGCCCAGGAGGCAGATGCAGAAGCACAGTGTTACCCAATGTTGCGCGGTCCTGACACCTCTTCCCACCTATGCAGGCGTCCTTGTGTCCACAAAAATACAGAATCCGTATTGCACCACAGGGCTCTGTTCTGAAAACAGTGGGCAGATACATCACTCTCTTCTCGCTGACTAGGATTTCTTCCCATTTCCCCCATTTAATTCAGTGTTGCTGCGGGTTAAATTGAGATTAATGGATAATTCCTAAAAATCATGTGAGGGGAGTTGTCTCCCTCTCCTTCCTGAAAATCCCTCTGCTATTAGCCCCGGTAATTTAGCAAATATTGATTGATTTAACCTTCTATGACTTATCCTGCTGCAGAAATTTCTTGCTTTTCACTGAAAAAAGCACTTGGAAAATGCACTCTCTGACATACGTATTGCAACAGTGCATCTTTTCACATTAAACTCTTGTATAAGTACTGCTCCCTTCCACCTTTTGAGGGAGGTGACTCTGTGTCCCAGATCTGCTCCCCCGGCCGAGTACATAGCGGAGAAATCAATCTCTTCTCTTTTCCCTTCATGACCACAGTGTGGAGTTCAGCCACTGTCTGTGCAGGAAACATCCTTTGGGTTTCATTTTGGCTAAGGGTATCAACCTTTTTAGTTCTAATTTTGCAATCTTACTGTTACCATAGACAGATTTATTTTTTTTGTCACCTCTCTGCCTTGTTTTGTTCAAGTTTAACGCTGAAAAAATATTAGAAAGGATTTAGAAACTTTTTTTTTTTAAAATAAAAGTCTTTCCTTCACCCTGGGGAAACACACTGCTTATTTAATGTACTTTTTTCCCCTCAACATTATTCCTCTCTTCTTCTCTTTTCTTCCCTTTTTTCTTTTCTTCTTTTCTTTCTTTTCTCCTTTATTTTCTAGAGCAGACAGGTACAAGAAGGAGGTTGTCTTTCATCAGCAGTCTTTTGTGATAGAGTAGAATTCAGTGAGTCCTCACCGTGATAGGATCATAAACTTACTGGGTTAAACCAAGCTAACTTTCCCTAAGCTGCCAAGTTTTAGCTGCACCATACATATATGTGTTTCCTTGTGCCATTTTCTTTTCTTATGATTTTGTTTTCCTTGATGACCCTGAGCTATGGCTTCTGTCTCGTTTCTACCACTATTCAACCTTCCTTTCTTTTCTGGTTTTGCCAATATAGGCCTCAAAGAAAAAATGGCAGAAGAGCACAAAGTAGCTGAGGTACATGAGAGAGGACCAGATGATGTTCTGCACGTGGGAATGGCACTGGCCCTGCTGCATCCAGGAGAAGACCAGGTAATTGATCACGCAACCGATCAACATCTGAGTGATCTGCGACAAGGTGATGAACATGGCAAACTTGCGTGAGACTCTGAAGCCAGCAGCCCGCAAGGCATAGTAAGAGTACATAACGGCGTGTACTCCATAGTTCATGGTCATGAACCAGCCACCGCCAGCAACCATGTCCTTGTAGGAATACCAAGAATAAAGTAACACAGTAATGTGGTGGTACCAGTGTAAGAAGATGAGCTTCTGTTTCCTAAGAATAATGAATATTGTATCACCTGTAACAGAACACAAGAAAAAAAAAAAGAAAAAAAAAAAAAGGAGGGGAGGAAATAAGAAACATATTGAACAATTCCATAATTACTGCAGTGCTCGCTTCCCTTTGCTGTTGCTAAAGCATACACTATTTTGGAGCATGAAAAGCCACCTCAGCTCTAGATCTGAGAGCCTGTCTGATCTGAGCGCCAGCTTGGCTCCTAAATTCTACGCAATCTTTGGAAAACCAACATATCCATGTTTTCTTGGTGGATAACCCCTGTTAGAAAACTGCATAGGTCTACTCGGTAGCTCTTTGCTGCAAACATTACCTGTGAAAGTCTGACGTGAGGTAGGTGGATGTATGTGTCATCATCTCTGACTGTGAGACTGTCCATTATAGACTGGGACTAGAAGAAAAATGCAGCTTGACAGAGAGCAGAAAACCTGAAGAGCAAGCAGCACAGTGTCCTCCGACTCAAATGCCTACCTGCAAACTCAACCTACTTAAACTCAGTAGAGCCTTTTGAGCTACTACGCAAAATGCTATTGCATATGCAATCTACAATACTGAAAGGTAAGTAATTGCCAGAAAAAATGCTTCTGGAAAGAAATTCAGTTTATGTTGAAATGCACATCCTTTTCTGCAAATTCATGCTGCTACTGTAGAAAAGTAAATTTTATTCCTCTTTCCTGCTTTTTTTTTCCTCCTGCTTCTCATGATTGCATTGAGCATCTCAACTAGATCTATGTATACATGTATGCTACTTGTTTTCTATTGTTATAGACACAGTGTTTCCAGAAAGATCCCTGAGATTTGAATCTGGGGACTTATTTCTATGTATATGTATCCCGGGAAATCCAAATCGTGATTACCACCAATGGGTGGAACCAAAACTGCACTGTCTGCACAAGGTCTGTAATAAGCCATAACGCTACTGTCTACTTCATTAGCTGCAAGATGTTGACTCACATTTTAATAAGTAATCATACGTTCAATTTACTGTTGCTGTGCAGTTCTAGCTGATGTTTTCCAGTTTTAACAACTAAATTTCCATGGTTTTGCAGTATTTGAAGCAGCAGGAAACCAAGGGATTCTGACACACCAAGGCAACTGGTATCTGTCTCGTGCCAGTTTTTATGCTGACGAATTGCTGTCCTGTAATTTGCTGAATCAAATTCTCTGCTGAAAGGTAAAGACTCATTTTTGCTGTCCACCTGGAGACAGTGAGTGCTGCACCCCTTTGAGGTTTAGCAAGGGCATCCTCAGAATGAAAGCCGGAGGGCTGCTAAATCGCTGCCTCCTCCTTCTCATTACAATACTTTCTCACGCTAATAAGCCACGGGATGAGAACACACGCAGACCGGCTATTAAGTTGGCCTTGGCATGTATATCATTACTATCCTTACCAAAAAAATTGCTGGGGAGACAGGAGTTTGTAAGAATCAGGACTGGAAAAGCTGGGGATATTATGGGAAGTTGGTTTCTATTTGGAGGAGGCAGACAGCCGGAGCTTTCAGTGTTTAGGGAGGAAGCACGTTACTGTTCATTATTGTATGCCTACATGTGTATTTAAGGATGAACGGGGCAGAATGCAGGCAGAACCTGACTCAAAGCTTCTTGCTGACACAGCTGCTGTAGCCCACCCTCCGCTGCTGTACCCACGGGGTGAGTGGCTGCCGATTACGCTACTCCTATTTGCCTACGAGTAGCTAAGGAAGAGGTATGGGCCAGATCGCTCTCACCTCTTGACTGCCCTGCTGCGTATAATCACTGCAGTTTATTCCTGGGCTGGGAATGATCTTATTCAACTGCATGTTGATCTAACTCCAGCCAAGCTAGACTTAATCTCTGGAGACTAAAACATGTGGAGTTTGGGGCTGGTTTTTGTTTACTCAGTTTTTCTAAGGCTAAAGCGAGATTTCGACAGCACTGAGACCCTTCTTGTGCTTCCTGCACAGACACTGCTGCTCTAACTATGCATAGTGAGAGAAAGGGAGAGAAGGTACTCACCTAGTTCAGGTGCTTTGCTTAGCACAAATGCATATGCCCAGAATTTGCTGACAGGTCCAATGTAAAAACTCTGGTCACACACTGACTGCTTCAGGCCTTTGGTCATCAAAATGTACAGCATATAAGCACCAGTTCGAACAGCACCGAATATACTTCAAAACAAAAAGAGAAAATGAAGAAAGTTGAGTGGAGATCTGAAATCTACATGCCATCACTTCAAATCATTATGAGAAAAAGGCCATAAATGTGCTGAAACAGTAAGTTTGAGACCGCCTTAAAGCTGGAGCAACTCTGCTGGCTTCTAGGAAGTTGTTCTGAACTCAGATTTGTAAACTGGACTGAAGCCGTATACCCCAGTGAAAGTCTGGAATGGTAACGTCAATGCTTTTTATTTCATTACTACAGGAATGATCCTTTGGTTGTCAGGAGCAGTGGAAGACATCTCCTTCAGCTGAAAACCACATGCAAAGTTTTGATGCTGACGGCTGGCAAAGTACAAGAAATGAGCTGATAAAGAGCTGTCATCAACATAATCAAGACCAATTCCCTCCTTGGATTTCCTCAGAGTTTTCTCACTTCTCCCTGTGGTTGTTACACCCACAGGGGCTCTGAGCCCAGACAAACCCAGGTAGGGCGCACAGATTTTGATGTGAGGTCTCGGTCAGGGCCAGTGTTTTGGTGCACGTGCTGACTTCATACTTCATCTCCTAAGAGGTCGTTGCTAACAGAGGAATCAACTAGTTGAGCTGAGTCATAAACAGCTGATTCACCCTCACCTCATCAAAGTGAGATGCAAGGTAACAGTCTGCTGTAAATGAGAAACATCAAGAGATTTGCAATGGTATAAATTAGTGCAATTAGCGAGGGGATAGGTTCAGTAACAAAAGACATCCAGCTGATATAAGAAACAAGCCTCTGTCTCGGCAGCAAGGAGCTCTGCAGAAGAAATTGCCTCACTGTTTTACGGCAAGAACATGGTTGCCCACTGTCTACATTGTAGCTTGCTGGACCTTCAAAAGCTGTGATTAATACCGGGTGAAACAAGCAGCTTTCAGAAAAATGGAGCAAAGAAATACCCAGCCTCCTCTGGGGCTGAGTACCTCTGACTTTATGCCTACATCATATGTCCCCGTGCGTCTATCCAGCTCCATCTTCTCTCCCCTCTAACTTCCTTGTGACCTTGTCCTACTCATGAATCCTCTGGTTCCTGCTCTGCCTTGGCGTCTTCCGTGACTATCGCATGGCAGCAAGCAAACCAAGCCACCTAAAATTGATGTGTAGAAACGTGGGCAATGCAAGCTACCACTTATGCAAAGTGTGTGAAATAAGGAACAGTTCATCTGAAGTTACAGATTCTCTGTTACTCGTCCTTGTCTTGTGAAATCAGTATTCTTTAAAAAGTGCTTTAAAATCATTGGGACAGCCTCAGAAATTGATGTCTATGGCAGTCCTTATGGCACTTGGTCAGACTAGATGGTTCAAGTAAGCCTGCCGAGCATAAAAACTGTTGACCTAAGTTTTTATAATTTTTGCACAAAGTATTTAGATTTCCAAATCTGCAGCATTGATAATACCCAGTCAAACCTGCCTGCTGCTAAGGAGCAACGCACCTTGCTCTCTCCTGTCCACTGCGTGCACTCTGCAACCCAGCAGAGCACCATGCTGCCTGGTGCTCTTTGGGCTCAGTCAGTGGCATTCACAGATGGGACTCTACAGCCAGGTCACGCTGAAGAGCAGTGTGACATTCCGGCTCCCACACCATTGCATTTTGATGCCTGAGGTTTCACTGTGCCGTCAAGAAATTCAGACAGCAGTGAGCACTTAAAAAGCTACTATTATTATCTGCCATTTGTATGGTGGTATTTGCTCATGGGCTCTGCTGCCCAATAAAAAAAACCCCATCCTGCTGTGGTACAGGTTTACTGAAGGAGTTTAGCTGAGTTTGGGTTTCCCCTTAGCACTGCCCAAAGCAATGTGCTTAATCCCAGGCTTAGGCAAGACAGCCGCTGCAGTCTCTCACATTCACCCACCCTTGCATGCAGAAGAGAAAGTGCAATGTTCTTAGCATCTACGCAGCCTGCAGTGCATCCTCTCCATGTAGGGCTGCTCCCTCCCAGAAACGCTCTCTCGGCATGCTTTTCTCACATCTTTGGGGATTGGTCCTTTTAACCTAGCAGAAAGTGCCAAAGTCTGCAGGAGGAGATTTGAAATGAGGTGCAACTCATTGTGTCTTCTCTCTGCTGTTTAACACATGCCCTTTTTTTTTTTTTTTTTCTCAGGAGTTGCATTTCTCATTCCCAGGAAGACAGGAGGTCCTGACAGAGATGTGATCTGATCACTGCCTGAGGCAGTGAACTCCTCGAGCTAGCCAGGGCAGGCTGCTGCTTGCTCCTGTGTTTTGGGTGGTGGCAAAACTGAGTGGAGGAAGATCAGGCAGAATATCTAATGATATGCTGGTTATCCCATTAGCAAATATCTCAATGCCGACATTAAAATGGGGGGGAAAATGGAAATTTGAAATCACAAAATCAAATAGCTGCAAGCAGTATGCCTTTCCTTGTACAGAAGCTGTATTGCTTTCTAAAATATCATTTATTATTAAAGTTTTAAAACCAAAGAGAATTCTGTGCCATGAACGCAAACTCAGATGAGAAGAGTGCTTGTTCGGGCAACAGGCAAACGTTGACTTAACTGTAAGTGATTGAGTATGGACACCCAGGGATTTAATCTGGACTGATAACAGAGCCAAAGAGTATTTGCCCTGTGGGGATTACACAGTTTCACTTTGCTGTCCTTGAGATTATAACGATGTAATTCTTCCTGTCTTTCTGTTTAGCAGCTACTGCAGAGCTTTCCTCGCAGCACGTGCACACGCACATGCACCCTCTCACGTTCACTTCTCTACAGTTTGGCAACACGGTGGCTTCCTCTAGTTCCAGGACTCTGGAATAAGTGACTCCAGCTACTGCTCTACATGGTGTGAATCAGGCTAATCTGAATTTTTAATCAGTAAAAACCAAGTTACATTTCTGCATAATTCACAGGGGGGGAGCTTTATAAATAAGGAGGATGGCAACCTGGAAGTAACTGATTCAATTACCTAAATAGACGCCATGAGCAGGTAGCTGTTTATGAGATGTGCTGCATGCCAAAACACTACCTTGCCAACAAGCACACGCCACCGGAGACAGAAAAAAGATCTAACACACGCTTGCAAATGTGCCTTGGACCCAGAGAGCCAGGACTGCTTTTTGTGCCTCTGCCACTTAATCTTGTTTGTTCTGTAAGGTAAGATCAACCAACAAATTTCTATCTTGCAAAGACATGATGTGCAGCAGAGTGATGACATTGCTTGCTCAGTAAATCACTTCTGCTTCATTTTGTCCTCGCCCTGCTCTCTGCTGTAGCTTTTGTGAGGAATTGAAATGAACTGCTTACCAAAGCAGTCTGTCTGGTGGGAATCATCTGCAGGGATTTTAGAAACAAGGTAGCAGTGAATTAGGGTACAATTACAGCCTTTTGCAACTAGAGAGACCGATCAGAAACAAACTGCACCAGCTAATGTAGCTTTCTCATCTATTCAGACTCAAAATGTCCTACATTCTCCTCCCTTCAGGCAGTGACTTCTCTGGTAGATTAACAAGTGCCCAATTGATATTTTACCATCCATAATATGATCAAAACATATCCATGAGTAAAAAAAAAACCTAATGCTTTTCCCTTGCAAACTTATTTTCAAATGAGGGCCTCAAACCACGTCCCACGAGTGGCTTAGGCGCAGCCTTAAGGAAGGAAACTGAGGGCTGGGGAGCTGGCTGATGGGAAGACAACGCAGGCGTTAGTTAGCCTGTTGCGGCTTTCTGTTCCCTCCATCCTGCTTAGCAAGAGGGAGCAAAGTACTCGTTTCTCAAAAGCCTGAGAGGGCAGCAGGTAGCTCAAGATTTCAGTTCAACCACAGCTGCCATTGTAGCAGGCTCAGCTCCTCCTCGCAGCGAGGAGGATGCTGCCCATTTGTGCTAGGGCTGCTTTCTATGCAGACCCATCACTGCACTTGGCTCCTGACACCTTTGGACATCCTGGTCCAGGATCAACACTGCAGAATTGAGCAGGGAATGTGACTTCCACTTTAAAAAAAAACAAAAAGAAATTAAAAATTCAGCACAGAATAGAGCAACATTTCCTAAAGGATTTTAGTGCTGTGATAATCACAGAGTGAAAGTTCTCTGCTCTGGTTTGCATCTTAAAAAAAACCCCAACTAACCAAACACACCATGCAAACCGTATCTGCAGAACTAGGTGAAGATGGCATTGAATGGAATAATAGTCTCGACTATGGCTAAAGTGAATACAAAACATGTTAGCTACAAGCCACATGTCAAAAGCGGAGCATCTTTATTTTCAAAAGGATGCCATCCTGTGTACCCCAAGAGCAGCAGGGAGCAGCAGGGAGGCCCTCAGACAGCAAGGCCCTCAGACAGCAAAACCCAGCTGCTGTGCAAAATTAAGGGCTGGTGGGGACTTGAAGCAAAGCCCTCATAACTCAGGCCCACAGGCTGTTCAGCATGGCCCAAACCACAGGCGCCCAGCTGGTTTGATCAGTCTCCGAGGCGTCAGACTATCTTCTGCCATAGGTGTCTGGCAGCAAGCTGGCCGGGCACCAAGCTGGAGCTCCCACGGGTCCAGCTCCGGCTCCCATCCTGGGGCCTGGCTGGAGGAGAGAAGAAATCTTAATTCTGCCCTAACCTGCTTACATGGTGACTCACAGGAGTCCCAGCAGATGAGCCTGTGCCCCGGGAGCACACGGTGGTGGCAGGGAGTGCGTGGTCCTCCTCAGCGAAAGCCACATCCAACAGAGCGGTCCCGGGAGAGCAGCCAAGATCACCTTACATGCGGAGTCACCGCCCTCCGACTGCAGCCTGCTTGCTTGTATCGTAACACCGAGTAAGTAGGGAAACAGGTTTGGGGTTTTTGGTCTTGGGTTTTTTGTCATTTTAGCATGCAAAATATTCACAGAGGAAGCACCCCGAGAAAGAAATGCTTAAAGGTCAGCAGGTGAAGAGAGTGGAGCTTCCCACACCTTTCTTCATTCCGTTCTGTTCTGCAGGAGTATTTCAGTGGTCCTATCAAGTTTCCCTTCTGCTGCTGAAGAGCT